AGCGTTCACACCACCCGTATCCCACTGCCCACGTCCTCCAGGCTGCGCTTTTGGAGGCATCGTACGAAGAAGAAGAAAAGGAAAGGAAAGAAGAGTAAGAAATTTGAGTTGGAAGAGAGAGCGGATCACGACTGAGGAACGAGCACCAACTAATGCGACGGCACTGATACTTATACCGTACGGAAAGTCGTTTTCACTTAACTTACTACGAGTTTGCTAGCAAACGTACGTCACAGCTAGGTAACAACATAACTATTCAAACTACGAGCAAACACGCGGACCGCCAAGCAGCCGCATACGGTATAGAGGGGGGGTATTGTAATGGGCTGCGCCCGTGGAGTGAAAGCACGTGATTGTATCACGTGCCTACATCACGTGCCTATATCACACCGCTTAGTTAGAACTTACTCGTACGAAGAGTAGAGAAGCAAGGTATAAAGAGAGAGGTGTCGTACGACAGCTTAACTCTTCTTATCTTTCTTCTTCTGTACTATAGGTTAATGCAAACTCGTTCGAAGGCCTCTTCGCCCATAACAATAGATAGATTTGTAACGGAGTTACATGCCTATATATATTATACTACACTAGAATAATCAGTTCAGATTTTTCTCGTGCTTACCTTTTGCTGGTGGGTTGGCTGCGGCTGAGTGGTTGTCACGTAGTATTGACTTAGTGGGCATTGGTGCTCACCTCCGCTACAGGATTAATAGTAGGGCTATAGAGCTATAGGGCGGGGCGATAGCTATTGCTATAATATAAAAGCTTTTATATTAGCTATAACTAGTTAGTTATCTATTAACTATACTCAATCGTAAAGTTATATGATAGCTATATTAAAGGCTAGCTATAGTCGTAATACTGGATAAATTCATGGATATTACTCGTTCAAAAAATACAATAGCGGAATGCTCTTAGTATCCAGAGGCTGGTCGTAATAGGGAGCTTTATTATAGTAACTCTACTCTAACTTATGTAACGATGTTACAACTTCGCCAAGTATCGGACCAATCCCAGAGCCGGATCGGAGGTAGTATTTGCCGCCCTCTTCATCAACCACTCGTTGTGAGGTCGGATCCGATTCGGATCCGACTAAGATAAGTATATAAGGAGACACTCCCTGTAGCTAGCTCTGTAGACTTTTGATATCCTTTTCGTACAAGGCCTATAGGTGTCTATTCGAATTAAGGCTCGTTTGATGTCCCCCGCACTCCCACATGCCTCTGAGTGACACTACCGCCGATACTGATCCGAGTAGTCCTGCCTGCGCCGTTACAACTTAACTCTAACGTAACTCTAACGCAACATAAATCTACCTATAACGACTTAAGAATTAGTTAATTACGTAATTACGTAAATGCGAAAAACTTTTATATATAAAATATAGTTATTCGTTAGAGTAGCGTGTTATGATAAGTTAGGTATGTTAGAATTTACGAATTGGGGGTTGCAAATCGCTAGATTCAGCTACGTAACTCTAATGCTGAGCCTATCTTAGCACGAAAGAGGCCTCTTTCGACGCCTTATATTGGTTAGGAAGATAAATTAGAGGTAGTACATGCCAGTTTGGTGCGGGATGATTCGACATCCAAGTAGAGCTTCCTACTTTTCTGTTAATCAAATAAATCATTCAACGCAAAGATGCGATTGGGGGACGATGCTGGTGTCAGACTACATACTTGTAATACATTCAAACTCTTAGAAATTCCAATCTATGCGAAGAAGATTAGTTCTAGGTTGAATAATGTCTGTTTTTTAGATCAAGTAATGTAGGCAGTTTCGATATGAGTGCTACTTTTATACATGTGCAGGAGGTCAAGAAACAATGATAAAGGAACGTCATGAAATTCAACATATTAGAGGCCCCGTACCCGGGTTAAGCAATTTACCTAAAAGGCTTTCTCGGGCCCTTTTTCCAAAATACGGCCGGAGCTGCACCACCTTATTACCGGAAGTCTCATCTAGCCGAATTTTGGTGCTGTTTTAATTTCGTTTTTACAGCTTCAACCTAAGATTAACTGAGGTAGAATGTGCTCATTGCTGAATGGGATACGTCAATGCGATTGGCCTCAAGTAAGGCCAGTATAAGTGCAATAAGTGCAAGCGGTAATAACCAGAGCCAATATATTGGCCCACTTCATTGCGACCTAGCAAGCCGAACAATGGTAATCCAGTGGTCCGCGTAGGCATTCGCGGACATGTGAGGGAAATTCACGTTCATTCAACGCCTGACATTAACAAGTTCCATGCAGAACCCTTTGTCAACACGGATATTCCAAGATTCCCGAAAGCCCGAAAGTATCTCGGAGTCCGCCACCCGACGCTTACTGAGGTTCGTGCAGAACCCTTCGTCAACAAGAATATGCCAAGATTCCCGAAAGCCCGAAAGTATCTCGGAGTCCGCGAGCCGACGCTCACTGAGGCTGAGTCCTAGACGTCGAATTGTTCAAACCGCACATATCTTGGTTATATAATACCTCATTCATTGTCCCCTTGCACAAAAACATCTTTCAGCATCTTCATCCCGAACTAAAACTAGTCCAGACCCCTATCTACAACCATTGAATACTGTATCGCGATAAAAGGTTGTTAGGAAACATCTGAGTGCCAACTTCCCTTAACTCACACCAGCTGGCGGCCATAGCTATTCGAAGATATCGTTGTCTAGGCTCTGATCAAACTATCGAGCAACATGCCATCAAATTTCCCCTTACAACCCATTCCTGGACCGAGTGGTATGTTCAATTCTCCCGCGCGTGTAAACTAGTACTAAGCGAAACACCAGGCCTGCCAGTGGTTGGTAACATTTTCGATATTGACCCAGAAGCTGGCATCCAATCATTGGTTCAGTTTGCTAAAGAATATGGTAAGTATATCATAAAACTGAAAGGCCTCAATTATGCACGTGATTGAACAGACTTGTTTAGGACCTATTTTCCAGATGACCTTTGCGGGTCAAAAGCAGATATTTATCTGTGAAGCACAGCTTGTGAATGAAGTATGTGATGAAAGGCGATTCTGCAAGACCGTCACTGGTGGAGTTGAACTGTTAAGATCGGGAGTAGGGGATGGCCTTTTCACAGCATATGAAGGTGAGAGGAATTGGGACATCGCGCACAGAATCCTCATGCCAGTTTTTGGGCCAACCAAGATCAAGAGCATGTATGGCCAGATGACTGACGTGGCACAACAACTCTGTCTCAAATGGTAAGAGGTAATTTGATTGATTTCATTCATCGCTGACAATGGGGAAAGGAGTCGATATGGCCCAAACTACCCTATCGAAGTGACCGATGACTTCACCCGTCTGACACTAGACACGATTGCTCTTTGCGGCTTTAGTCATCGATTCAACAGTTTCTATCGAGACACAATGCATCCCTTCATCGAAAGCATGAACCATTTTTTGCACGACGCCGACAAGGCATCTGGGCTGCCTAAAATATTCAACAGCCTACGCCTGAGCGCGAAAAAAAGGAACAAACACGATATAAACGTGATGAGGGATCTCTGTCGAGAGTTATTAGACCAGCGACGACAGAATCCAACAAACTCGAATGATCTCTTGGACACTCTTTTGAACCAAGCGGACCCTAAGACAGGAGAAAAATTAGACAACCCATCGATTGTAGACAACATGCTCACATTTCTGATCGCTGGCCACGAGACGACATCGGGCCTACTCTCGTTTGCATTTTATTACATGCTCAAGAACCCCTCATCATTAGCAAAAGCCGAGCAAGAGGTTGATGAGGTCGTTGGAATGGAAAAACTCACCGTTGATCATTTACCTCAATTGAAGTATACGAACGCGATTCTTCGAGAAACAATCAGGCTTATGCCAACTGCACCAGCGTTTTCAGTTTGTGCACTGAAAGATGAAGTGATAGGCGGCAAATTCGCTATCAAGAAGAGAGAGCCTCTCAACATTCTTTTGTCATGTGTACATGTCGATAAAGCAGTTTATGGACCTGATGCAGATGAGTGGAAGCCAGAGAGGATGCTAGATGAAGAATTCAAAAAATTGCCTCCAAACTCGTGGAAGCCGTTTGGAAACGGCAAAAGAGCTTGTATTGGACGAGCTTTTGCTTGGCAGGAAGCATTACTGGTTAGTGTTGTCTATCCTATCATCATGCTATGGCATTATTAACTCTCCTCAGGTCATAGCGGCTTTGCTGCAGAATTTCACTTTCACGCAGGCCGATCCGTCTTATGAGCTTCGGATCAAGGAATCCTTGACCATTAAACCTGACGGATTCAAGATGTATGCAGCACTGAAACAGTCCAGAGCACCTCTCGCCTTCCTAAATGGGTCTGAGCTCTCACCAAAGCAAGCTCACAATACGCAAGAGGGCAGAAAGTCAATCATAGAAAAATCAATCCTCGGTCAAGGAAAGTATAAGTCCGTGTCTATATTCTATGGATCAAACAGCGGGACCTGCGAGGCTTTATCAAATATGTTCGCGAATGATTGCGCAAAGGCTGGATTCATAGTGCAACCGATACGTGCACTAAATTCTGCCAAGGAAGACTTTACCTCGAATGAGCTAGTTGTCATCATCACTGCAACATATGATGGCCGGCCTACGGATAACGCGACTGAATTCGTGGACTGGCTCAACTCTCTCACTGGAAAGCCTCTAGAAGGGGTATCGTATGCTGTTTTTGGATGCGGTATGTTTAGCTAAGCAAGAAAACAAAGCAGTACTAACTTAGTTAGGACATCAAGATTGGCCAGCAACGTTATATAAGATCCCCATTTTCGTTGACGAAGTTCTAGAGCAGCGAGGAGCAAAGAGAATTGCGCCTCGTGGAGCTGTCAACGTCGCCACCAGTGAGCCTTTCTCGGTGTTCGAGGACTGGGAGGAGGAGACGTTATGGCCTGCGCTAGGTCTTTCCCTAACGCCGTCAGAATCTTCCACATCATTGGAATCTGGGCTCAAAGTTTCCTTCCAGCAACCCTACACTCAACGCAAAGGGTTCAAAGAAGCTACTGTTACAAAACATCTCGAACTAAGCAGTCCCGCATCCTTGACCCGAAAATGCCACATTGAATTGCGACTGCCACAAGGCATGTCATACACAACTGGCGACTACTTGGCTGTTCTTCCTATGAATCCCACGGCTAATGTACAGCGGGCTCTGGCGCGTTTCCATTTGGCTTGGGACAGTGTTCTGATCATCGAGTCCGCAGGAACTACCCAGCTTCCTACAGCAACTCCAATATCTGTAGCAGACTTATTCGGTGCATATGTCGAGCTTTCGTCACCTGCTTCATCAAGAGTAAGTTCTGGCTCCGGTTACAATATCGCTTGTGAAAGACTGACTAATTGTATGTATTTAGAACATTAAAAGATTAGCTGCTGCTGCGATCGACGAGCCGACGAAACATTCATTGCTGAAATTGGCAAATAATGAGTCCAGTAGATTGCGTGGTAAACAACAGTCAGTCCTTGATTTGCTCGAAGACTATGAGTCCATCCCACTATCTGTAGAGATGTTTCTGGAGATGCTGCTGCCACTCCGTCCTCGAACATACTCTATATCATCAGCCCCAGATTGGAAGCCCTCGCATGCTACCCTCACGTGGTCAGTTCTGGATGCACCATCATGGAGTGGACATGGCTCTTTCCTTGGGGTCGCATCTAATCATCTTTACAATCTTTCGCCAGGTGCTGTTGTACGCGTCTCAGTGCAACGTTCGAACCCTGCATTCCGCCTACCCCAAGACCCTGGAGCTTACCCTATCATCATGATTGCATCTGGGTCAGGCCTGGCGCCTTTCCGTGCCTTTTTAGAAGAGCGCGCCTTGAAACATAGAACAGGCAAAGCCTTGGCACCAGCTCTGCTGTTTTTTGGATGCCGCAGCAAGGATGATGACCTCTACAGGAACGAGTTAGACGAGTTTGAAAGCTCGGGCATTGTACGTGTACGGCGTGCCTACAGTAAAACGCCAAAGGAAACAGACGCCTGCGGATGTACCTACGTCCAGGATAGAATCCGGGCTGAAAAGGAAGAATTCAGGAAGTTATGGGAACAGGGCGCCTCTATCTTTGTCTGTGGTGGCAGTAAAATGTCTGAAGCAGTGAAGGATTTATTCATCAACATAGCACGCAAGAGCGCTGGGAATGACGGTTTCAGAAGTTCAGCAGAATGGTTTAAGGCCCTTGATAGTCGGCGCTATGTTGCTGAGATCTTTAATTAACCTTCACTCTATACTGTTTTGAAGGTTGAAAGTAGTGCATAGCTTGGAGAATTATCGGACCAACTAACTATAAAAAAGAGATAAACGCAGTAACCTTTCTTCTTCTTATATTAGAGGTAAAGAGATTGTTAAATAAGTATATATTAACCTTTATTATAAAAGAAGAAAGATAAAGAAAGTAAAGCTAGTATATATTATCTCTTACTTTATACTCTTACCATAGGTTCCTTTGTACGGATAAGGTTTCGTGACTAAGCGGTGTGAAGAGGACACGTGATACACTTACATGTTTCACTCACGGGCGCAGCCTATTACACCGTGCAACGCCTCACACGCAGCTCCTTACAATATCAGAGTTAAAATATCTCTATAGTTAGGATTTTCACTATAAAAAAAGATACTTTAGTTAGAAATAGTCGCACTTTAGCTAGGAGAAGTAGCACTTAGGCTAGAGCTAGAACCTGAACCGCCGAAGGTAGAGGTAGATTCTTATGCTAGGCTTAGTAAGTCACAGACGAAGAAGCTAAAGGCTAAGTTGGACAAAGAGGCGAAGTTAAAGAAAGAGGAAGATATGAAGCCCTAGAAAGAAGAAGAGGAGGCTGCTGAGATTAGGCGACAGGAGAAGGAAAAGGCAGAATGGATACGTCTGGAAGATGGAGAAGCCGAATCGAAGAAGATGGAGGAAAAGAAAGCCGCCGCCGCCGCTGCTGAGGCCAGAGTGAGCTCCTTCAACTCAGCGATCGAGATGAGCGCTACATCTTAGGATAATGACTGTGAATTGCGTTCGGAGCATCTGTCTCGCGATGATAGGTGGCAGAACTGTAAGCTATGCGAGCTGTACATGCGAAAGATCGCTCTCAATCCTTATTCAATAGTGCTGTCAAACGTAGATGGGTTTAGCACGATAAATGGGTTAGAGTAACATAGAAAAGCATATGTGGAAAAATCCTATAGCATTGCAGAGTCATTATCTCTAACAGTCTGTAACCTTGAATGCTCTCACATTCTGACCTAGGTTCTTCTCCCAATCACTACAAGAGTACCCGTTCTGTTTGCTGCATCCCGCATCTGAGTATAGATGGACGCAGCAACTCGACAAGATCGCCCTGTCCCAATCCAGACGCGATCCGGCATTCGCCGTTACCCTAGAACACCCCCTGTTGCCCTTGCCATCAAAGACTTGCCCACCAAGTACAAGAGTCCAGGCATGGATTGCTGTCGCGAAAGCTGGGAGAAGCATGATCGTATTGAGCTTCATCGTTATTGGCTACTTGCAAGATTCATTATTACAAGTCAAAGAAACATTGCTAGGCTAGGTTATACTTTACTGTAGAGATTCTCTCTTGAGAGATGTAGCTCTTAGATTGGAGTTGAGTTGAGTGGTTGGTTATAAAAGTGGTTGAACGTGTAGAGTTTATGAGAGGCATAGGTCTATGCTACTCCAATCTTTTATATACGACTAACATTTCATAGCTGGTATGCCTAACTCCGTAATTATCATGCAACTTAAATGAAAGCTGAACAGATTGCCCCGGCTCTAGTAAAAGGCCGCATAGTTGTTTAACCGAGATGAGGCTAAGTTGCATTGGATATCCCAATGAGTATACCGTACAGCCACTTCTTGGCAAGTCGAGCAAGTAGAGTGGTTGTTGCAGTTTCTTTGATCTGGCCTCAGATTAAGCCATCTAGCATGTCTGCAAGGCTGGAAGTTGGTTTCCCTTTGTACCGAACAATAGTGAGATGCACCAATGTTACTAAGCCGTTTCATTTTTCAGCCCTAAGTAGTGGGCATCTACGCTAGACTAAATGTAAGGATGTGTGTTCCAAACCTCCGCATTGGCACTCAGCTTGTGCAGTACTATATGAAATTGCCTAGGTCGTTATACTGATGCTTGCGAAAAGCTCCATGTTGTCTCTAAGTTTCGACCCCGCACCTCAGCCGCACCATGTACCTCAGCCGCACCATGCACCTCAGCTGCACTAATATACACTTCAATACGATATTAACCATATTATCACGATTTATCAAAGGCCTAGATTGTTCCATGATTAGGTGTAGAGAATGTCGACCACATGCTTGCCTACTGAACTAGTGGGTTGGGTATGGTTAAAGCAATGGCTAAGTGAGTTGCTAGGGATGATTGCTGTTCGCTAAATTGGTATTGCCAAATTATGCGTAGGCGTGCTATTTATGAATTGTATCCTAGAGTTACTAGTAGGTTGAAAAAAGGCTTAACGCATTCTCTAGGCTAAGAATCTATTGCTGCCTACTTGTGCGAAATCTGTAGTGTCACTTGTTGCAAGATGTCCTAGTCTTCTAAGTTATTACTATTACAAAGCTATTGCACAGCCAAGGCATAGTAAAAAGGAAACGCCTTAGTAGGTTACTTAGGAACCTTGAGTAGAGCAGATGAAGTATAGGCAAAGAGGAAGCTAAGTAACTCGAAGACTGTAGGGAATACAAGAAATTTGAAGAACACGAGGAATATGAGGAACATGAGGAATGGAAGGGATGGAAGGAATGAAAGGATTGTAAGTAGGCTAGTGAGTTAGGTCTCCGCTTCAGGATCTATTATTCCGCAAAATCTCTATTAATACTAGTAAAAATATGGGATGACTGCTAGTTCTACTAGTAGTAGGCTTGGAGGCAACTTTATTGATAGATTCTAGTATGGAATAAATGCTAGGGGAGAGGGAAGATTTGATTGTACAAATGACTTTTAAGAGTACGTCTTGAGTGGGAACGTTATGAAGCTCCTAGTTTCTGTGGATTTGGAGTATTCGGCACACGGGCACGGTATCCACCCTCCGATCTATTAACTTAAGCGCTCACAAAGTTTATCACAGGCGAGTATCTGCATGGAAAGAAGTGATCGAATCGATGATCCATGCTAGTGCGCGGCCGATGCGGATCGTAGCTGCAATCCAGAAGAAAGGCTACGACACGTTAGTCTCTGCTACTAATATCCGAAGCGAGAGAAAAGTAATCTGCGGAAAGTAATTGAGTGGTGGGAGTAAGCCCGATAAAGGCGTTGCTGGACAACCTATCTACGGAGACTAGGCCTTTGGTGCTGGCTTCGGGTCGGGCCGCTATGCTTCCTGCTATCCCCTAGTGTTTTTGAGCCCTAGTAATATGTGCAGGGGACCTAACTTTTCTCCACTAGCTAAATAGGCTCTGGAGTCTTGGCTATTGACCGTGTGCTGACGAATACCCACTTCTTAACGCGCTGACAGTTCGGCTACATTACCTCGTCCCACAAACTCGATAGTCGATCTCTAATACTATTAAAAATAATTTTTAAACTACATTGGAGAAACTGGTTATATCTACGCGCTTAGGATCGTGGCTGATATCTGTCATATAGGCGTTCTCAAAGCATCTCTTCAGAAAACAACGTCTATTTTGAGATATATCTTTCACTTCTCGATTTAGTAGCCTAGTATGTTTCTTACTAACATAGCTTAATAGATTTCTTATCTATAAGACCTAGTGAGTAAAAGATCTCCATCTTCGTCGAATGCTAAAACACGTCGCAAGACTTCCAGCTGCTGCATAGACACTGCCCTTGGTTTTATAGAGTGGGCAACGATCAGAAATGCAGGAAATAATAACTGGAAAAGTTTGACTGCTAGAGGCTTCAACAATATATTTCGCCATATGTTATAGATTGAATTTAATGACAGTACGCCTGGGCACATTACCTGCTTGCAAATCCTTTACAGACTGTGGCAACATGGACAGAGGCTTCACTTCGCTCATATCTTGAAGAAGACCCCTCCGAGCAAAGTTCAGGACCTCGATAGCATCTTTTTGTGTGCCATGGCAGTCCCTGTGATACTCAGTTTGCTAAAGATGTACTGAGAGGGGTTGGCTCCCACAATCATGGAGTCAGGGTCTGTTTTGAAGTTAGCTTGTACAAATCCTCACTACTATTCCTTTCCCTAACAACACTCACGTAGACTAATAGACATTACTGTGGCTCTAACTCTGCTGCCAATATAACCAACGGCATTCTTATAAGCTGCAGCCGCTAATACTGCAACACTATGAGCCCCAATGCCATCACAAATACCTACAACGTCCGCTACTACATCCTCGCTCTATTTGAGGTCGACAAATGCCTCAGCACCACGACTCAATGAAAGCTCTTGCTTCTTGGGGCCAGAGTTAACAACAACTGGTCGAAACCCCATAGCTTTGACGATTTGTACGCACTGAATCTCTACACCCCCGCCTCCTCCAGGGAAGACAATTCAATCGCCAGGCTTAAGCCTAGAATTTTCCAGTGCGCCATACGCCGTCAGTCCGGAACAATGAGGGGTGCTGCAAGAGAGTCGGGAATACCATCTTGAATAGGCGTCGCATCTTTTGCAGGAGAGGCAATATAATGTTGGAAGGTACCTTTATTGTGTCAGCCATGACTAGTTCGTCCCGTGTTCTTGCTACTTCGCGATACGAACCTGTAGCTGAGACGCCACTCATAATGGCATTTCGATAGTAGTTCTCAAGTCCACCCCAGCACAACTCGCACGCGCCGCAAATATCGCGAATTGGCTTTATTCCAGCTCGGTCGCCTAGTTTCAAGTTTTGCACATTACAGCCTAGCTTGACTATAATGCCGGCACCTTTGTAGCCAAGAGTTCTATAGTTGAAGGTAGACATTCGAACTGGAAATTCTTCCGCCATCAATCCAATGTCAGAGCAACAGAGGCCGGAAGCATTGATTTTGACGAGAATCTCATAACGTCCTATGTATTCAGTACAGATGAGGTGAGAAACTTATTCTTTTCCTACCAGGTTCTGGGATGTCAACTTCTTCAATGTTCGTGGAAAAATTAGGGCCTGGGTTGACTACAACACCAACCATACGTTTGTCTAGCATTTTGATTTGGGTGGTGTTGTCGACAGCTATTATTATAGGAACAGTTCAAGGACTAGAAATAATTGAATTTAAAGGCTCTGTAGGTACAGATTACTGTACAATTCGAAAGAATGAAAACAGGGAAGCTGAACTGCTTGTACGAATAAGGTCTATTTATGCAGCCAGCTAAGAACTAGAAAATTAGGTATTTTAGATGTATGCACATGACTGATTGGGTTGGCTCCCTCAATTTCCGAATTCATCTCGGAGCAATGTTATCTCGTTAGCCATGTTCACCTTAGCTAGCAGCGTCATGATTTCTATTAGGCGGTACAAGATGCATGATTATGACATGGCTAGCTGTCTTGGATTTATCATGCCTATCGCAGTATTATTTGCACCAACCCTATAACAATCTCGCATACTGACTGGCTTGGGCAGAACCCCGCAGGACGATATCTTGGCACCTCCACAGCATAAATAAGACGGAATCAACTCTATCTGAGGTAGATTGCAGAGCAAGCCCGATAGTAGCGGATGCCTTTAACTCCCTCAGTCCGAGATTTCACGGATACGGAAAACGTCAGTGCCGAAATTTCGAAAACCTAGGTCCGAGTATGTAAGAAGAGCATTGCTCGTGCTCAACCTTCGCAACGAAACCGCTAAAATGAGCTCCTCCAATACTGCTCTATGACTTGACTTTTTTATCTCTATTTGCTATGTATATAGCGTATCGGATCAATTATCTTAGAAAAGTATAGCAGGCCACACCCCAACCTGCTAGAATTAGGTATTAAAAGAATTAACTTTACAATCAAAGTACACGGTAAAAGGATTTAGGTAAGCGTTAAGACCCTATTTTAAACCCTAAAAGATAGTTTATTAATACTACTAAAAACCTCATAATAGGTATATACCTATTAAGTATACCTTTATTAGGTGCGATAACTAGACTATAGTCGCGATAAAAGTAGTAGAATAGTAAACTATAGTTACCATAAGATAGTCACTAGTTATAATTAGGATATATAGTATAGTAGAGTACTTTAATGCCTATAAATTCGCTATATCATCTCCCCTCGTCTGTAACGGCGCAGGCAAGTCTGGTCGGATCATTATCGGCAGTAGTGTCACTCAGAGGCATATGGGAGTGCGTGGGACATCAGACGAGCCTTAATTCGAATAGACACCTATAGGCCTTGTACGAAAGGATATCAAAAGTCTACAGAGCTAGCTACAGGGAGTGTCTCTATATATACCTGTCTAGGTCGGATCCCAATCGGATCCGACCTCACAACGAGTGGTTGATGAAGAGGGCGGCAAATACTACCTCCGATCCGGCTCTGGGATTGGTCCGATACTTGGCGAAGTTGTAACATCGTTACACGTCTAACTCTTTACATTCTCGTACTTTTTAAGCGTAACTAAGCAACCAGGAAAAACCTGCATCACTAGCGTAGCTGACTATGGCTGTCAAATCTTCTGGAAGGAGCAGCAGACAGCACTCAACCAGAGGCAGAAGCTGCAGAACCAAGCCTGCAGAAAAATTCTAGGGTCCTTTAGAACCTCACCTGCTATACCTAGCGAGGTAGAAGCAGCTCTTTACCCTCCTAGAGCTAGACTCAACAACGCCCTGCGTCAATACGCCTTTAGAGCAAGAAAACTAGCTCCTAGCCACCCTCTGAACATCGCTATCGCTAGCAATCAAGGGAAGCAGCTAGAGCGTATCACTAGATCTATCTCAACTACACTATCGGACGACAGTGAGAAGATAAAGCACTACGCCTCTATGCCATGGAGCTCAGAAATACTCTATCAGACGACTATATCTAAGAAGTCAAAGGAAATCGAAGCAAAAGAACACAAAGAACTATTAGAAGACAAATACCTCCTATCTATCTACTCAGACGCCTCAGCTACTAGCAAAGGCAAGGGTATAGGAGTAGGAGTAGCTTTCTACAAAGGAGCTAGCCTTATAGCTCAGGAAAAGGTTAATATAGGATACAACCAGCTAGTCTACAACGGAGAGCTAGAGGGTATTACCCTAGGCCTAGAGAAAGCTATCGATCTAGTAGACGACTGTCTAGAAGTCAGAGTGTACGCAGATAATCAGG